CGATTCCCGACAGGTTAGGGTTTAGGGGTTTAGGGGTTTAGGGGTTTAGGGTTTAGGGTTTAGGGTTTAGGGTTTAGGGTTTAGGGTTTAGGGTTTAGGGTTTAGGGTTTAGGGTTTAGGGTTTGGGCCCTAAACCCTAAGCCCTAAAACCCCAAAGCCTTCTATAAGAATTCTGTGCGGGTTCCTTAAAGGGTCTGGGGAGGGTTTGGGACTACAACTCCCTAAACCGCTTTATAAGGGCTCCTTGGTCGGTCCACTGTCAGGGTTTTAGAATGGGGTTTCGGGTAGCCTGAAACCTAAAAACCGGTCATTCAAGGTGTAGGGTCCTGCTATTACTCAGAAAGCACAGAGACCCGAAATAAAGAAATATACACGAGTTGATATAGTCATAAATAAAGAAAATACACGTAAATTGATATAGGTATAAATACAGCAATATACGTAAATTGATATAGTTATAAATAGCGAGATATTTTCCATTCGCAGCGGTAGTGACATCTGCTGTCGCTCGCCTAGCACGTGAATTCTGTGAAACGGTGAAACGGCTCAAGAAAACAATCCCTCCTCGTTTAGCAAAAAGCCCGCCGCAACCAGCCATTGTCCGGCTGGACCTAGGGCCTGCTCAAGGCCAGTGCATCTGACCTCTACGGGTTGCTCGGATGCCACAGCGACGCATCGTGCCAGGGTAGCGGTGGCTGCCTCAATCCAGGTGGCATACGCATCCGCTGCCCGAACAGGCATGCTGTATGGGCCATGTGGTGGGAGGCGATGTGTCGGCGGATCAGGCAAAGTCCACGAGCACCTCGTACCGGAAGCTGCCAAAGTCAGACGACCTGGAAGCGGCCAAACCGGCGGCCGGTCACTGGAGGGTGGTGCGGCAGTACGCGCTGCTTGTGCGGACTCGGCTAACACTGCCGGGTCAAGCAAGAGGAGGATGTTTTCCGAAACTTCGGCATGCCAAGGAGAATGAGGGTATGCAGAGGCCCAGCTGCTGACCGTGGCACGAAGGACTGCCAATGGTTCAATGTGCCCCGCGACTACCTCAAAAACCTCATCCTCAGTGCAGCCTTCCAAGTCGTCTAACGCCTCTCGGAGGGACCTCGAGGTGCCCGGCTCAGTGTCGAGGAGCGGTGGAGGGCCCCAGCTTCCCGCTACTGCCGCCGGCGGTGCAAGCGGGTGGCATGGTGCATCACTTACATCCGGGGCAGGTGTGAAAGCTCCCCAATTTGTCAAACACCGGTGGCTGGTGACTAAGTGCCGACGCAGTCGGTGTTGTGAGGCATACGCTTTCCCACATCCTCGACATATCCGATCAGTAGGCACTAAATGGGCACGGGAACGGTAGCCGTGCTTGCGTGCTGCATGGCCCGACCAGGAGACAAGGGAGGGAAAACTGCGGCGGCATGGGAGGCATAACTGGAGCATCGGCGCGGAAGGCTCCGGGGGGCTCGCTCTCTGAGGGTGAGCATCCGATGTCCCTAGGGCTCTGTGTAGTCCTTCGAGAGCTGCTCTCACGGTATGCTGATGCACGGTGAGGGCACGCGCACGCTTGCATAAACCTTTGTATCGTCCCGGCATGGTCAAGATTGCGTTGCGCCAGAAAGGCCAATTGCCCTCAGGATGCGGCCAATCCGTGGTGGCGTGGCACCAGGAATACAGCCACTGCAAATCTCGACGAAGCATGGCAGTGTACTCCGTGTCGGCACGCATGACAGCCCAGAGGGGTGCCGGTCCTGCCCGCAGAAGCTGTGCCAAATATGAAAGACGTGAGCACCTCAAAACGACATCAGGGTCCGGCACCTGCAAAAGCGCAAAGCATGTGGAGCATGTGACATGCTGGTCATCCTGGTGCTTGAGGCCAAGCACACTACGATAAAACCCCCAAACGGCTCCAGCATATAAACGGTACTCCCGTGCACGGAGCGGGGGCCATGCCCCAGCTCCCAACAACAGCTTTGACAAGACGTTTGAAGTCAGCAGCAAGGCCTTGCGGCGCAAGGGGATGGCCCGTGACCCGAAAATTTTACGCCTTGCCTCAGCAAATGCGCTTCGGGCCTGACTGACGCGGTATCTCATCTCCTCCCAGATTCCACCGGCTGGCGTTTGCTGCACACCCAAGTGCTTGTAACACGGGGGAAGGGGGAGGGACATAGCCGGAAGGTTTTCCAGCAACACCGGAATGGTACCATTAAATCCACTGGTACCGAAAAGTTGTCGTTTCGTAGCCCGGCTATGTTGTCCACTTACCGTAACCAAGGCAGCAGTCTTATGCACGCCGAAGGATAAACGGAACCCAAACTCTACGAATGCCTCCGTGAGTGCAGTCGCCTCACAGCGAACCACACTCGGTGCTTCGCACGCACTCTTGCAGACCTTGGGAACCGCGATATCATCCGCCCAGACCACATCTTGCAGGGGGATGTGGGGCTCGCTTGACGCCACAGGTGTCAGTGCCATTTCGCCGTCCCAAGGAAAGCTCGGCACTTCGCTGCGGGCCCCAAACTGTGCCAATAGCTCATCTCGGCGAGTCAAAATTCGGGGGATGAGAATGGCAAACAAAACATCGGCCCAAGAGCTGCCGGGGCGGGTGCCTCTGGCGGTGGCGACGGGTCTGTCATCGTTGACCAGAAGGAACCAGTTGCAGTGCCCAATGTGGGCCGCCAGGCTTTCGAGCCAGGCAGAGGCTCCGGCCTGCGCAAGTGCCGTCCGATCACCCAAATGCTCCCGTATCACGTCAAGGGCTTCGGGGGGTAAGGCTAGGCCTTCAAGGGCCCGGTCAAGACTCGCTCCTCAGCGGAGGTAGGACATTGCGCTATCAATTGCAGCAAGGCACTGTAAAATGCAGCCGATATGTCCGCAAAGAGAACGAGGCAAGTGCGGCCCCGCTGGGCATAGACGCGCATCATGGACCTGAGTGCGTGGGAACCCAGGGCGATCCCGCAACCCAAACGGCCCCCCAGCTGCAAGGGCAGAGCTGCCTCACTAAAAACACCGCGTATGGACGGGCGTAGTGCTTGGTGGATGGATTTTGCCCATGTGGCCAGGAGGAGGATTGAGCGGTATGATGAGCAGAGGGCTTTACAACCGCGTCCTTTGTAAAGAGTCACAGCTTGGCCACCCTTGAATCCTAACGGTTCTTGTCCGCGCCAGACGACCTTTAGCATGAGGGAGTACAGTATGTCCGCTGTTTCCGCCGGAAAACTGTGGTTGAGTTCTGGCGGGATGGCGTCAATACCCGGGGCACGGCCAACCTTAGTGGCCGCCAAGGTTCGCCTGAAAATAGGCAAGCTCAGCACTTCGTCGATGCAGGGCGGGTGCGCATCTGATGGCCGGGTCTGCTCGGCCACACTTGCCGCCAAGGCATGGAACGACGTGGCTCGGCCAGCCTCGAGCTTAGCAAAATGTTCACGCCATAGGGCCTGCAGCTCCCTCGCATCAGCACATGGCTTACCCTCAGCATCTCGGAGCATGGGCAGGGGATCAAGGCTGAACGGTTTCTTGCGACGGTGCATGAGGATTTTGTGAAGAGCCGCGTAAGCTTCCTTAGAAGGTGCGTGCGCAATGTCATCGGCAAGTCTAGACACATAAGCATCCCGGTCCTTGCGGCAGGCTTTGCGGAGATTGGCACACGCGCTCTTAAGTTCCTCTTGAAGCTTGTCGCGCACATGGTCCGCTCGATCGAACCAAGCTTGCGCACAAGTGCGTGCATCACAAAAACTTGTCCGCGCAGCCCATGCGCGGAATCCGACCGCAAGCGTGTGGTGCGCAAGCTGTGCCGTCAACCTGTGCAACTCACGGCGTGTGCGCGCCACACTGCGCTGGAGCGCCCAGGTGTTCTCAGAGATGTAGGGGTGGTGCGGCCTAGCTTGCTTACGCTTGGCTATGGCCGCTAGGCCCTCTTGCACATGCTTGGCCAAGATGGCCGCGTGAGCATGCACAGAAACGTCCCAGTTGACTGCAGGGGCAGTCTGAAGAACTGCAGCCACTTCGGCACGACATGCCGAATCCGTGATCGTACCCACCGGAAGAACCCTGCGTTTGAGCCCTTTCTGAACCCCCGCACTCTGAAAAACGAAGGTGACACTCACACAAGCAGCAACATGATCGGGCACTGCATGTGCTGCATGAATCTGCGGTTCACACCACGAAGAAATTTCCCCAACGGCCCATGTTTTCGGAAGTGCAACGAAGTCGGGCCTGCAAGTGATCTTGCCGTTTTTATGGGTGTATGTGTGCGTCGTGCCTGAGTGACACCAATCGAAAGTGGCAGGCAACCACATGCTCGAATCTGCCAAAACTGCGTGCAGGTATTCACCTGGCGCGTCTTCTTGTTCAGCCGCATGTGGCCCAACATGCTCAGACGTGCGGCTTCCGACCGAGGCGTTGCAATCACCACCCAGAATGAGCAGGGAATTCCTGCGATGGTGCAACAAAAGCCGCCTTGTCTGCACCCACCAATCATTGAGGATGCAGGCTTCGGTTGCACGATGCGGGGCATGCAGCGCAACAATCAAGATTGAGAGTGTGCCGGACGTGTACCTGAGGAAAAGTCGCCTAGGGTCAGAAAAGACGATCGCCAGTTTTGCTGACGTGAATCTCTCAGGCTCACAACCCGCTGTACCCCCGGTTACAATGGGCTGTTCTGTGTGCACCCAAATTTCAGTGCCGAACTGCCCGCGAACAGAGCCCGACGCATAGCGGAGATATGGCCCTACAACTGTCCGACCTTCATCTGCCCTCGTTTCCTGCAACATAGCAATGCTGACCTGGAACTTTTGCAGCTGGTCTGCAAGGAGAGCTGCTCGTGCCGGCCGGTGCGCCAAACCTTCATCTTGGTGTGATCCAAGTGAAAGAACATTGAAAGTGGCACAAGTAATGCGAAGTATGGTGGCGACGTGGGACGAATCATCCACGGCGCCGTCCGCCTTGTCAAACGCATGGATCGGTGCAAATGGCTCCAAAAGCTGGTGGGGTGTTAGACCATCATGATAACCATCATTTCTTAAGTCAATCTGGTTGAGTGGCGGTAAGGTCCGGTCCCCTCGCAGCCGTCCAACAGCAAGTGCAACCCAGGGCAACCTTAAACCGCCTCGCCCACACCAAAAATCAATAAACCTAGAACCAGCTAGGAGACCACAAGACTCTCGCCGGCTCCGGGCTGCGCTCTTGGAGAGGGCATCAGCAAGCTCGTTTCCCCACAATCCCGCATGTCCCGGAGTATACGTGTAAGTGGTTCTATGTTGGACCAGACTGTGTCCCATAGCATGCACCGAACACAGGGCCTGTGGCAGGCCATCAAGTTTGAAGGTGCAACTTCCGGCTGCCGCGTTAATTGCCGCGACACAATCACACATGAAATGGACTGCCTGATGACTGAAAGCATTCACACGTAACAACCCAGCTGCAAGAAGTCCTGCACATTCCGCCAGGTAAGGTGAGGGGCGGCTGTCATCCTCTAGTAAATTCAGGGGCATCCTGCCCAAGGCAAAACAAACTGCCTCTGTGTGTGGATCAATCACCACAGCTGCCCACCCAGCACGGGCAGCACGGCACTTTGTGGGTGGGAAGAAGGACCCATCCGTATAGATACAGATGTCTCCAGGGGGAGTATCGGCACGGAGTTGATGCATCGCCAACTTACCGAATGTACCTTCAAACTGTTGAATCGGTAACCCCTGTTGTACACCCTGGTGCCAGTCGAGCAGGTCGACCGGGCAAGTGAGCAAGGCAAGAGCGTCCTGTATCGCAAAACCAAGTGGCGTACGGCCAACATGTAGGCCCTCACACAGGGTCAAACCCGGTGGGGTGGCTGGAAAAGGGAAGCAGCTTTGCGATGGTAGTGGAAATCGGCCATCTCTTCCAGGGTACTGACGCTGAGGCTGGTCTAAACGGGTAGCTAGCTGCACACACAAAGCAGGGGTATCGCTCTTAGCTCGTTCGTGCTCAACGATTGTTTCCAAAAGCGTGGCAGCTGCATAGAAAGGGTAGCCCCGAGAGTCCTCGCAACTCCTCCATAGCAGGGTGGTGAGCCCGGAAACCTCTTGTTCCGGATCATCAAAACCGGGGGTCAGCCTACGACGACATGGGGTCGCCACAGGTCTGCCCGTCACATTCTGATCGACCTTGGTTTGAGATACACACCCGGCAGTGATCATCGGGGGCCCTACAGGCATGGCAAACTCCGAAGGGACAAGGAGGTCGGCAACTGGACGGTGGAGCTGCACAGCTGACGCTGTCGGCATAAGAAAAGCGAGGCCAAGCCAAAAAATCGGTGGCACAACCCGCGGTCGCGACATCATCAGAACAAAGCCAAGACAGAAAGGGGACGATAAATCACGAAGCAGTGGGCATGACCAAGGCATCCTCGTCACTACCAAGAAGAAGATGGCAAGCATAGGGACGCATAAGGCAGCGTCAAGGATGCGAGTCATTGTTCGCTTGCCGCACCTGAAAGTCTGCCTCCGGTGGGAGCCTCTCGACAGCGACTGTTCAAAGCTGCCTGCAGGGGCACCACCCGTACCTGCATCGTGTGTGGCGCCCTCCGCGATGGAAGGGTAACCATGTTGAGCAGTGGGTGAGGAATCGTGCGTCTCCTCGGATGTCTCATAATCAGAGTCGAGACTCGAGTGTTCGTCATCATCGGCGGAATGCTGTAGCCCGACAGCAACACGCAACTGCACAAAAATAAATCGGAGCACCTCTCCGTCATAGACAGGTATCGGCTCTTGGGGGTCACGCAAAATCGTACCCCGTCGTGCAACACCGACCTGGAACCCTTGTGGACAGTCCGCCAGTAGCCTTTGTACGGTCGGCCGAATCTGGCAGAGTCCCTCGGGACACCAACGCCATTCGAACCTGCGTAGAAGGGGCCGCAGATCGAAGAAACATGCGGGGGTACGGTATGTGAGCCCAGCTGGGATCAGAAACTCCGGAAACGCAGCGATGACATGCTGGGCAGCTTGCCCCTGATGTGCGTAATCCCGAAGCTCCATGCACGCAGGCTTCAACCTGGGCTGCTCCACTGAGATGTGACATCGTGGTGCTAAATCAGCTCGCAGGGAGTCACGGCGACCCGGGATAACAAGGAAAAAGAAGTGGGCCTCAGCTCCAAGGACCCACACTGCCTCATGGTAGACTCCCGGCATGTCAAAGTCGACATTCCACCCATCAGCAGAAAGAAGCATGTCCGACAGACAAGTCACAGCGTGGTGTGGGGCGTCTTGCCGCCGAAAGAGAATGAGCGCACCATGGGCAGGCAGAACTCGCAAAGCTGGTGGCAATGGCCACGGCTGGTCACCGACAAATACATCAACCCCAGGAACATCGGTAAGACCTGCCGACGACAACAGCTCTTCTCTGGTAGCTGCCGTTGTCAGGTGCATCGCAAAAAGCCTTCCATTGATTGCACGAGAATCTAGAGCAACAATAGAGCCGGGAAAGTCCCAGGCGGGGTGGCTGACGATCATTGCATGGTCACCACAAGGCTGCGGGTGCACAGCTGCCACACACGGGTGGCATAGGGTGTCGTGTGGGGTTCGGGCGGCATTAATAGCTGCAAGTGCGTCGACCTGACTGCAACCAACCGGTAAGCGCGCCTGAATCAACTCCGGAGCATAATTCTGCCCAAGCACGATGAAAATTCCTGTGAGAAAGTGTAGCACAGGCGTGTGCGACGCATCAACCGGCTCATTCGCGGGGTCAGCTGAGCGGGCATTAGCCTCTTCACTGCCACTGCTCCTCGTCTGTGCAGGGCCGGGTGCACGACCTAGCTCATCTCCCTGTGGGCGGGCACTGCGTTGACCGGTCTCAACTGGACTAGCAGCAGGACGTGAGGCTGGAGCGCCGGTAGGTGCATGTGTCAAGGATGCCACAAAAACCTGACCTGGTCTGGTTGTGAGATGGCTTTCACGAGTGTGTACTCCTCGTATCTGCAACTGCCATCCAAGGGGCACAGCGGCCTGCACCGCTTCGAACAACACATGGGCATGGCAACCCGACAGGGGTACGTACAGCACTCTCCATCCACACAGAAGGGCTCGCAGGTCGAGCAAAATGCCATGATGAGAGCCTACCTCGCCTGAAGAACCTTCGCAAACGGCAATCACGGATCTGCAGGGGAGGCCTTCGATTGCTGCCCCCATGACCTGTGGGGCGGCCGGGAAGAAACGGAGGTGCTCGGGGGAAAGTCCCAGGGCAGCTGCTAAATGCTCCCGATATCGGGTCGGGATCCAGTTGTCCGCAAAATAAGCAACTGTGGCCTCCTGGTGCACCAGGCAGTAAACCGTGGATTCAGTCGGTTCGGGGACGGTATTGGCATGGCTCCACATCCGGGTTCTACGGAGAGACTCGCTCAAAGCTGCCCCGACCTCGATGTCAGCCCCAGGCGGCGCGAAAAAGACCTGAGCTGACATGACACCAGGAATCCTCTGCAAGGGGATCCGGTCCAAAACCGACATGCACATTGACGTCCACATTGTCTGGCAAACCAGCCAGAACAATCAGCTGGCGCACATGAACGTATGCAGGCACGCGTATACAGAAGACACGGTGGTCAAATCGCGACGTGTCAAAGCACACGAACTGGTAGTTCGGGTCACCTAAATCAACCCAAGCAGGGACGGCTAAGAAGACGCCGGACCCTGGACACGGCTGCGGGTGCACTGGCAACAGCCTGGGGAAGTGAGTACGCTGGAAAAGCGTACGACACATTTGGACACGACCGAGGGCTTCATCCAAAGTCGCAGGGAGCTGCATGACTACTACAACCCGCTCAACAGCATATCCACAGGCAACGATGGCGAAGTGCAGTCGCCTTTCAAGGCCTGCCTCATCTTCACTGTCCACATCAGATGTGTCATCCTCATAGAAGATCGCAGACACTGGTGGAACATATCGCCATGCGCTGCCTAGCCTAGGTCCTAGCTACCTGAGCGCAGCCATGTTGCATCTTCCTTGCACCGTGGTGGGCTGAGGCTCGTCGAGGACTTTACAAGACAAGCCCCCGGTGCCCAGAGCTCCTTTGCTCAGTACTCCGGCAATGGCACACCATGGGGAGTGTTTGGGGGCTGTCCTATCGGACCACACACTCGTGGGTGTGAAAAGGAGTAGACCTCCGTC